GCCGCAGTATAAGTCCTAATACTAGTCTCGCAAATGACTTTGGCCGCCGCCACCAAAATATAACAACACAATATAATACTCCCCGTCCTCCTGATTTCCCTCGTTTATCTGAATCATCGGAAAGCTTTACTGACGGAAAAAATATTCCTCATAGCTCTCAAGAAAGCTTCTATGAAAATACTCGATCCGCACCTGGATCACTTTCAGAATCTAAAAAACCTAAGCGGACAAATCGTCCTACAAACTTTTATGGAACTACAATTCCATCTAGCATAATTGGCAAATTTAAAAAGAAATAAAAACACTAAACCATTTATTTGGCCAGCATAATATTTTTTTTTAATTCTTTTTATTGGCCTTCTCTTTTTTTTCTTTTTCTACTTTATAAATATTTCGTTTCTAATAAAAGCACAAAACACCAAAAATAACATGTTAATAAATAAATTTAAAAATAACTTTTATAAATATGAGATTTAATATCTGAGTACGCTTTCATAAGTTTTAATGCCGCCATCTTTTCTAACGAGTTTTCCGCGGCCCTACTCAGGCTCCTCACTGCAAACTACAGCGCTGAGTACGGCCGCCACCACGCTTGATAAATCTCCTCCAGCATAATCTCAAGCTCTATTTTTCGTTTAAACTCTGCCTCCGCCACTGGCTTTTTGAAGAATTCTTCTTGAAACTAAAACAAATTTATATAGTATTTCTATGTTACCACTTGAATAAAAAATTTTTTTTTTATTATTACTTTTAAAATTGAGTGTATTGTAAAACAAACTTACATCCTCCCCAAAGAATAAGGACAAAAAGTCCATTGTCTCTTGGGAAACCACATGGTTTCCACTCCATGGGCTCCGAATTCCCTTCGTGAAGCACCTACTTTGTATTGAGCCCAGCTCAAACAGTTCGTCAGTGTTCAGGACCGGATACTTGAATATGTAACTCCGGTCCATAAATATCATGAACTCCATGGGTGTCAGATTAGCACCCTTCTCGACTAAATCGTCGTATATTCCCACTCTTCTCTCCACTTCCTTGTCCTCCAGCAAGGCTTCGTGTTTAAAATCCAACTCATCCCGCAAGTTCAAAAACTTCTCGGGAAAGTCCACCAGATTGTCTTCAGGCTCGATATAACTCATTTTTCAAGAAAGCAAAAATTTTTAAAAATACTGAGATAACAGATGAAGTTGAAACGGAAAGCAAACAAATGATGTTGCTTTTAGTCCTCTTTTATGAAGAGATGTTTTTTTTTCATTTTCCTCCTCCAATAAGGAAGGGGAATGCAGTTGTTAAAATTAACATCAGCATAAACGAATGATTATCATTCCACTGCTAGATCTCAACAAATCAAAACTAAGTGGAAAAACCACGACATTAAGCCAGATTGGAAAAAACCACAAAACGAATGGCGAATGAATTACGACTTAAAAAGAGTCACTTCCGAAAGACGCCGAATAACAACGGCCAATCAGAGCTTAGATTTGCAAAAAAGCAAAAACAGCCTTTAAAAACTAACTGATATACAGTTGTTTTCATTCTTGCTCAATTCCACATCTTTCATTCAAATCCTCCTCTCTCTCTCTCCAAAATATAAAATCTGCTGAATTCCTCAACAAAAATTGAAATCTAACTCAGATTTCCCTTCACAAAAATCCACAAAATGACAAATCCAAATAGTGAAATAGAGGAAGGTGAACTGAAGGACCAAGATCCTGTTCTAACCACTCTCGAGGAAATGCTTAAAGTAAGTACTTTTAAAAATTATTCTACTATCATTCACCACCAAAAAATAAATTTGCAAAAAATTTATTTGGTTGGTCTTTTAACTCTAATGATACTTTCGAATCAAACCTCAGCAATTGATCGGAAAGAACAATTATATGCAAATACTGCAAATAATCTTCGGGTTGCTCATTATGATTGTCAACTAATGACTTCTAACAAAATGTTCTCTCTAAATAAAGTAGCACCTTGCAAAGTCCAACCAGAAAATATTAAAGTAACTCATGCTTATGTTACTCTATATCAGAGACATTATCGCACAAAAGTAAATGCGACAATGTGTCGAATCAAACACCAATCAATGCATTGGTTCTGCGATTCTTTTGATTCGAGTGGTATCGACGCTCGACAAAATATGATCACTACTGATCTCCATTTATCTGCCGATCAATGTAAATCGGCCGCCGACAGAGGCTATCTTAACCTAGGCTATGCTAGTATTGGAAATATTCCTTTCAAATTTAATGTTAAAACAGTAACTAATGCCCATGCTGGCAAAGTTGACGGCAAAAATCATAACGAATGTGATGGCCGTTCTTGGATTAAATTGGACACTTTTGAAACTTACATGCAAAATGTAACTCTGACTGTTAACCTCAAAGATGGAACAGTCAATAATTGGCAAAACATTCCTTTGCCCTGTCCAGTGTCTACAAATGGATGTGAAACAACATCCTTAGACGCTTTTGCTTATACTTGGGAAGAACCCAACAATTTCATTTTCACTGTTTTAAACAGATTTCCGGCTAAAATGATTCAAAACGAAGAATCATACTACATAATTAAAGGCGATTCTAGCCCATCTATTCATTCTACCCATACAAGGGATTCTCAAAAATTTATGCTACAGGTGATGAATAAACCGCAATCTCTTTGTGGTCATCCCAGAATAGTGTATCCAACTTCATATGATTCACTTTTTATTGCATACACTGACGGTTTCAATATGGATACTGGAATCCAAGTTAAACCAACCCCAGAAACGGGAACTATTCATAATGCCGGCCAACCAAATTCTACTTTTCTCACATTAAGTGATGATTCGCCGCCACTCCAATTTTCAAGTCATCAAATTGACTACGAAGCTCATATAGGTACCAAATTGGACTATATTCTTTTTTATAGCTTCTACATGCTCAGAACGGCCGAGTTAGCCCTTCTGCAAAATCAATGTGAGCTAGAACGCTCCTCAATATTAAATACTTTAATGCTTTCGCTTGAAAGCCCACGTTTGGCTGGCTATATTCTAACCAAAAACCGCTCTATGTTTTTAGAGACCAATGGCAATGTTGCCTGGCTCTACCATTGTCCGAAATTTTATTCACCTTTGCAATTAATGGATGAATGCTATAATCGCATTCCCATTATGTATAAGGAAAACATTCGATTTGTCGATCCAATTACGAGACAAACTTTTCAGCCGGCAGATCTACAAGACTGCTCCGACAAACATTCGAATCTCTTTCAACTAGATGTTGATGATGATAAGTCCTGGATTGAATTAACCCCTCAAATTACAAGGGTTACAGGACCACATCTCTTTAAACCAAAAGAGATAATTCAAAAGATTAAGCATTCTCTAGCCTCTAGCCAAGGCGCTTCAATCTACACTTATGCTCAAATGCAAAAATTCTGGAATATGATTTCCGATAATTCAGAGATGAAAGGAATACTGCAAAAAGTATCCAGGTCCTTTCTAAATGCTAAAAAAAATTTTTTCAAGGACTCATACAGCGCGCTAGGTTCTTCCGAAACAATTTATTTGGACTATCTCATCTCTCCAAACTTTTGGAAAAACGAATACACCCGTATATTCGGGAAAGTACAATACTATTTAGAAAAATGCGGAATAGTCTTCGCCTCTTTTCTATTTGTGAAATTCATACTAGATTGCCTAGTATTCATAATAAAGGCTATGCATATTCACAAAATCACCGGCCGCTCACTACATTTTGGCAAAGTATTACTTGCCGCTTCATACAATATACTTTTCACTTCCATAGTGACCTCAATTTTCACTCAAGATGAGCAAACTGAAAAAATAGAACAAGATTGTGATCAGAAAATACAAGCCCCTCTTTTAGAGGAAATTTATAAAATAAACCAGGATCGTATGTATCCTCACATCCAATTAACAAGTTTTGAGAGAAGAACTCAAAACTTGGATCACCCAACAAACCCAGTCTAATAAAAAAAGTTCTACTGTTCTAGGATATACCAACTGATTCAACTATGGACGCAACACTTGATGACGACTTGAGAGATTTCGAAGATCTCCTCTCACTTCTGCCACCAACCGATCCACTGGACTCGCAGATTTCAGCACTCACTCAACAACCAACTGTTTCTACTACTACAACACCCACTGCAAAGCCGACCTCAACACGATCCTTCGTTGAGCCACTACTTCAAACCAGTTCAGCTGTCCCAATAACTACAGCATCACAGCCACCACCCCTAAAAATTTCACCCCCTGATTTTAAAATACCCCTGGTTCCCTCGAATTCTAAAATTAAAAAACGGACCCAGATTGTAAGACCATATAAGATACTAACGGCAAATGCGCCGGTATCAACTTCTCATTGTCCAATGACCATTAGGCGACAGCCCTTGCACCCCACTGAAATAAACACTAGATTACATATTCAGTTAGAAAGGGAACGATACATTAATTCTAAAAGCAATCCTGGCTTCGATATGGATCTCAATTATGCTTTGAATCCATTAATCAATCGTTTTAAATTAGAAGCCTATCACCCTATAAAAAAAATGTATTCCATAACTAATTCCCTTCTTGAATATCAAAAAATCTATGTCCCAGCAAAATATCTGACAGCAAAATTACAAACCCCCCAGTTAGATGACTATACTGAGCAAATTCAGCGCAGTCATATCCATGAAACGCATCAAATCCGGGAGCTGAAAAAGCAAATCCACTATTTGAAAACAAAAAATCACCAACTTATAGCCCGGTTGGAAGGAAAATTGTAAAAATTTACCCTTTTATTTAAACATTTATTCTTTCGCTTTATATAGCTATGTAGTATAGCTATAAATTCCCTTTTAACAATTTTGACTTTTATAAAAAACAAAAAACACAAAAAAATACCCCCTTTGTATGAACCAGTCCTCCCCTTATTACGCGTGTGGACAGACTTCACATACTTCAGGAAGAAAAGGAGACTTCGGAAAAAGAATGTTTAAGGAATAAAACTAACCTTCAAACTTTTGAGAAACAGATAATTTTGATGTATTTAATTTTATAGTTAAATCCCTTGGTTGTGTAAACTCTGTTTTGATTTATAAATGTAACTGATGTGTTTATATTCATTCAAGCCTGACTCAAAGTATCAGTTGTTCAAAAACATCTGCTACCTGTAATACCAACAAACTATTGAACCAACTTTATGAGATTGAAAGAAAAAGCTTCGATTGATCAACAATTACCCCACTATTCAAGTAAAAGTAATAAAAATGAAAGTTTCAGTTTTTTTCCCTCTCCAAATAGGAGGATGGATATGTTCTGATTTCAAATAGAAACAGAAACATGAATTATTTTATTGCGTTCACAAAATGTGACGCCGCCGCCACCACCAAAAGAAATATGTTTTTATTCCCTTGCAAAAGGAAGGGAAATGCTATTGGAATAATTCGTATAACGTTTTAAGCATTGAGAATTGAAACGACTATTCTCATTCAATACGAATATTAACGATTCCTCTCGTAAAATACGAGCATACGAAACCTTCTTCTCGTAAAATACGAATGTACGAATAAAGAATACGAAGTTAAAAGAAACTTCTCATTTGATACGAAAAGTGGCGTGATTTCCCAATCTGAGTATAAATAGAAGCTCAAAACTACGGGAATTCATTCCAACAATATCTCTTCTAACACCAACACCACTCTCTTCTACCACCCCAACCAATCTCTAAAAAATATCTCTAATCTCACCGTTAAAATAGATATTGAGTCAAAAGGCAACTTGCTGTAAATTCATACTAACTTCTTTTCTAATAAAATATTTCTCAGCGAATTTTAGATTTACTTTCTAAGATAGAAAGTAGAAAGGACCCTTTATTCCTAGCAAGCGTTTTGTCCGACGTAAATAGTATTGCTAGCGTAATAATATCAATGAAAAAAAACTTGAACACTCACTGACTCTATAAACATTGATTGTATGTGTGTGTATGTGTGTGCATGATAATTATGATGCTTTTGTGTTCAAAACAATGTTTCAACAGAAGAGCAGGGGGATTTCAAACAGCAAGCGATTGACGATTGGGCGCATGCGGATGGTGCGGCGCGGCGGAAGGGCGCTTAATCATGAAGAGTTCAATCCGAAAACTGTAGTAGTACTAGACGTGGAAATATTTAATCGAAAAATTATCAAAAAAATTGCAATATGTACAACATTTTTCAAAATAAGTTTCATCCAATAGCCCTCACACAAATTCAATCAGTGCACAGAATAGAAAAAAGACAAAACATGTGGTTAACTATTTATTGGTTCAAAACCAGCTGGAATGATGGTGATATTCACTACACACAGCTTAATAAAATTCAACAATCAATGAACTTGATAGATTCAGTCATCTTGAATCACGCAAATTATTATGGTAAAGGACAAGAAAAAAAGAATTATTCTACAGCAATTACAAAATATATCAATGTTCAAGATTTGTCTGGAATGGTTGTCCAAAATTAAAGGAGACCTTGATATATAGAAAAGAAATTAAAATTACTTCAGCTGTAAGCCCCTGGTCGCAAAAGTGTTTTGTGACATTGTACTCCAATGAAAGACTGATTTTTTTAGTATTTGTATAACCATTAACTAGTCATTTAAAGAAACGCTAACACACATTTGGTTGTTCTATTGAAAAAATTTTGACAGACAAAACCAGCAAAGATAACCTTGGTTTCTTTGTGATAACAACTTTCCTAGTTCAAAAAGTGTCAATTTTGGACGATAAGATCAACGTTTCTTCTATTTACAGTGGATTCTTAAGTTAGAAGCTCTGCGTGATTGACTGTGAGCAGAACAAAAAACTGTTAGTAGCTTTGTAAACAAGAGTGAAAAAAATTACGTACTGCATTATCCAGAAAAAAAGAACATAATTACTGGACCAACCTAGTCTCTTCATGCGTTTAATGGGAGCAAAAGATTCCGGTAAAACCCAATTTATATTTGACATGCCTAAATAAACGTCGTTCGATTCACTGTATGATTCAATTGCTTTTTATTACCAACTTTATCAATCATTCAATGATAACATCCGGACACAAGCTGTGTTTATATTTGTCGTTGGCTTACGGCTTCTTTTGAAAACCTAATCCCAACTGTGTTTTAATTTCTTTCTGACAATCGCGCCTTCTTCGTTTTTTTAATGTGTTTTACAGTGACGTTTCAGTGTGCAATCAGCTGGAAATGAAAAATCTCCAAAATTCCTATTGTATACGTTTCTTTATGATGGTGTATGTAACATTCGCCCAAATACTACATAGCGACGGAGCGTAGAAAAAGTACCTATTAATGACTGGCAGGCGTCAGTTACCTTAATCCTACTCGTTTTTCACCGTCTCGACCTTGCCAGTTGATTTTCTGGTCTGTTTAGGGCTAAGTAAAAAGTTACTATTTTTAGGCCATCAGTCAAACGACTTTTGATCAGCTTTCGTTTACACAACCACATAGCTGAGTCTCGGATCCTCAAACTACAAGATTGCTATTAAAAACACGGCTCGAACACCCTATTTTATTATGTTTTTGTGTGACAGTTCTATATTAAATCCATTGGAGATGGATTGACCCTTTCCTCTTTCTAGCTACTCATATTCTAAAATATCAAATAATACCGGTGTTTATTCAAGGTTTTACGACATCCAAGTAGCTACAAAGTCAGTTTCATATAGTACCTTCACATACAACAGTCTCTGGGGGGGGGGGGCAAAGCCTCCGCTCCCGTGTTCTTCCCGAGATAACTCTGTTATCTCTCCCAATTTGTGGCACGGGAGGGTTCCGTGGAATATTTCTTCCCCACTGAAGCTTCCTTTTCCACTAATTTCCACTGCTAAGGTTCTTATCGTGTGTTATTGCCACGATAAGAGGCTTCGTTTCTCTCGTTCTTTCATGCGACTGTTTTCTGCTATCTCCGTCGTTGTTGTGTTTTTTCGTCCTTTCCAGTCAAAACGGCCGTCTTTTTTGTATTTCTCAGAAATAATGGCCCGTCAATCGAAAGTTTAAAATTTGAAATTTTCGGATTATCTAGACCCTCCTTCGCAGCATTTTTTTGTTGCTAAGGCCTTTAATCCTCGCTTTCTGTGTCGCCGGAAGGTTGCGCTGTGCCAATCCGGCAGAATGGCACATACTCCCCGGACAGTCCCCATCAATGTCCCCATTGATCGCATAACACCGGGTTATCGTCAAGTGGTACTCCAGTTTTCTATAATTGATCTTACAAATCGCATAAGAAAATGAAATTTATCTACTCCACCTCAACTCACTACGTGTCACAAATGGCATTGTACTACATCTTACTGCCTTCTAACATTTTCACAAAATTTGCAAACTTACCCAAACTTACCATGTCGCCACACAGTGAAATTGTGTCTTACACAGGTTAAAAACTTCAGTCGTGTTTAAATAGGTAAATATACTCACCTATGTTTTATATATATACATAACTAGCATAACTAAAATTTTCTTTCAACAATTTTAACAATTGCAACAATTTTCAAAGTCTGGTTTGACCAAACTAGATCAAAACAAAAAGTTTAACAAGTTCAATAATCAAAACTTGGTTGATTAGTTCAAGTTTTAACACACAAAGACAATCAGGTTTTTTCTCCTTCTCTTCCTTTCTTGTTCACGTCTTCACTTGTCCTCTTCGTTCCATCATCTTCATTCCATTGCTTCTCCATCCTGATCTTCAGCAACGCTGTCTTCTAGGACTTTCTCCAGGATGTCCATGGAGTTGCGGGCTGTGCCCCAACTCTCCTGTTCCAACAGCCTCGGTTTGCAACAAGGTAGCAGGTCCACATTCACCTTTTGCTACCGGTTCCTGCAAAAGCTGTTGTGAAGACACAGACTCACATTTCGTTCTAGGTCAGCTCTTAAGACCTCTTTCTTCTCATCTTCAGTTACACAAGGCGCTCCAGCTACTCGCTTCACCGCCGTGGTGACCGCGTTTCTGTGCGTCAAGAATGCTCTCTTATAGGCTCCCGGTCCTATGTCCAGCTGGAAAGATTGATAGGCTTCCGTGTTCCTCGACATGTGACGCTTTGCGCGTTCATACATCCATGACGTCATCACTGCACGGAACCAAGGCATCAACCTTTGCCTTGACCATATTCTTTCAACGGCTTTGGGTATTCTCAGAACCTTGCAGGTGATTCTGAAAAGATCCAATTCACGGCTCATCTTCACGTTGCTCAGCTGCTCAGGAGTCGGCACGGCCGTCTCCTGTTCACTTGTGTCCGCGTTAGCCTCCAACCATCTCACTGCCAGCATGGCACTAACCACCACGATTGACACCTGTTGATTCTGATCGGGAAACCCCGTAGTGTACAACTCCTCCCATACTAGCATTCTTCCATACGTCCCATACTAGCATTAGATTCCCGCGTTTGGGGTACCATAACGTCTGCGCCAAGCAGTGGCAAGGATACTCCCCATGGGTTCTCACTATGTTCCTTCGGGTCCGATACCCTGAGGCTCCCAGCAACGGTTCCACCTCCATCATAATTCTGTGTAAATTGTCTTTCTCTTCTATGGTGGGGAATTCAGTGGGTAACGCTCCACTCGCTTTCTGCTTTTGGAACTCGCTCACATTACCTTCGTTCAATCTCAGGAACTCTTCACCCACTACGTCTTGCAACTCGCCTTCAGATCTCTTCGGGACTGCCCGAAAGATCTTCGCCAACAAATCATATGACCTCTCCGACATTCTGGCCAACCTCACGCACTTTGGAACAGAGAAAAGTTGGTCAATCAACACCTGCTGCGTCCTCGCATCCATCACCACCATGTGCGTAGGATACCTACTATTGCAATATGGCGCGGAGCTTGAACCCACCAGATATTTTGAACCAGTAGGTTTATGATAGGCTTCACTATCCTTCAGATTCATTTCGTTTTCCAGAGCTTCTCGCCAGCCTCCGATCTTCTGCTCTGTCTGCAATGCTCCAGAGAATACTTCCACGCTGAGGGACGTCACTAGCTCATGGGCACGCTCCAGGCACTCAAGCGATTCTATCGAACTCGTCATGCTACAAAATCCCAAGGCTGTGGTCAAATTTACATCCGTCACCCCATGACAGTCCGCGACCAACTCCATGCCACTCTTATCCGACATGCTCAATCTTCCGTACAATCGTGCCAGTTGTCGATGCTGCTCGCTCAGCGTAATCGGGCAGTGTCCCAATTTGCAAACATGTCCTTCCAT